GGATTAAAGGCATTTAGGCAGAACCTCACTATACTTGGCAAATGCTTTGCCACTGAGACACATCATTGAATGTCCCAGGATCTTATTCGTTTTTTCTTTTTTTTTTTTTTTTTTTTTAAAGAAAGGGTCTTTTGTAGCACAAGCTGGCTCCAAACTGTCTTAAATTTGTGACCTTCCTCCCTGGGATTACATGTGTGTCACCACAGGCAGGTTTTTAGTTTGGTTTGGTTTGGTTTGGTTTGGTTGTTGTTGTATTGGCTTTTTTGAGACAGGGTTTCTCTGTGTCGTTTTGGTGCCTGTCCTGGATCTTGCTCTGTAGACCAGGCTGGCCTCGAACTCACAGAGATCCGCCTGGCTCTGCCTCCTGAGAGCTGGGATTAAAGGTGTGAGCCGCCGCCACCACCACTGCCCGGCCACACTGTTTTATCCAGCGTTAGGAACAGACAAGGCTAAGGCAAGCTCCCTGAAGTCTGAACTGCATCCCCAGCCAAGGCTAATAAAATTATTAATTGATTCATGTTTTAAGTTTGAGACATGATCTCACCCAATTTCCTAAGCTGCCTTATACTCACCCAGGAGGTCAGGCAAACCTTGACTTTATGATCCTCCTGCCTCATCCTCCTTACTATCTCCTATCACAGGCCTACAGGACCACGCCCGAGTAGTTTAATAAGTTCATCCCTTCCCTGTGGCAGCCCAGGGTTTACTTGTAATTTAATCTCAGGATGTCTGAAATGACATGTAAATGGTGTTCAAAGGCTCTAGCCAATCACTGAGAAGATTATCAACCGGAAGTCAGTCCCGTGGATTTGTATAAAAGCCATGATCCTAGAGCTCCCGGCACTTTCCAGAGAGATCTCCGAAGAGTCAAGGCTGCTGCAGGCACTAAGGCAGGAACCTGGAGGTAAGTGAACCCGGGAGGAAGTTGAGCTTAGCGAGGCTTTGTGTTCATATGCAGACAGAAATTGACTGCTGCAAGATTTATCTGGGCACTGAGTACCTGCAACTCCAATGTAGGGAGCTGAGGCAGGAGGATGCAATGCCGACTTCCCTGCTGTACAGGGCCACAAGGTGAGGCGTTCACGGCAAACCAACAGAAGGACCCCAGGTACCTAAACTCTTCCTATGTCCTTTGATGGACATCTGTCTTCCACTGTGTTCCGCTCCTGGTAATCACGATGCTGTTGCAGACTCCAAGGGCAGATTCACTTAGCTCGGGTCTGCATCCCTTCACCTTCTCTTTGCTGGGTCTAGCGGTTGGACTCTCTGCTGGAATTTGTTTATTTATTGATTTTCTTTTCAAATGGGGTCTAGTTCCAGATTGACCTGGAACTTTACCCTTCCACACCAGACGTCGGAGCTGAAAGCAGAGTTAGGCACCTTCAGGTCCAATATTCTTCTTCTTTTTTTTCTTCTTGTTTTTTGGAGACTTGGTTTCTCTGTGTAGCCCTGGCTGTCCTGGGACTCCCACTGTAGACCAAGCTGGCTTGGAACTCACTTAGATCCGCCTGCCTCTGCCTCCCCGAGTGCTGGGATTAAAGGCGCGCTCCACCACCGCTGGGCTTCAGCATTTATTCTTATTTGACAAAATTACACTAAGCCATGGAATGAGAACCTAAGATTCCCTTAGTGGAGGGGTAAGTGTACCTTTCGGGTAATACCAGCTCTCCGGAGTCAAGATAGCAAGGCCCAATCCAGACAGGGAAACAAGTGTCAAGCCAGCCCGGGCTACACAGCCCAACCCAGTGTCAAAGCAAATGAGAAAAACAAAACCTCCAAACTATCAGGGAACAAATTTAAATCAATAAGGAAAATAGTTCTCTGTTAACCGTTACAACTCCAGACATTTAAAAAAAGTATTAGATTTTTAATATTGCTGGGGGGTGGGGGGTAATGATGTTTGGTTTGGGTTTTTTTGTTGTTGTTTCGTTTCTTTGTTTGTTTTTTGAGGGGGGGGGTTGTGACAGGGTTTCTCTGTGTAGTTATGGCACCTGTCCTGGATCTCACTCTGTAGACCAGGCTGGCCTCGAACTCAGAGATCCAACTGCCTCTGCCTCCCGAGTGCTGGGATTAAAGGCGTGCACCACCACCGCCGGGCTTGTTTGTTTTTAATTTTATTTCTGCTGTGCTGAGGACATAACTTAAGGTCTCAAAGATGCCACGCAAGCACTCTACCAACTGAACTACATCTCCAACCTTGCATCTCATTTTGTTCTTGTCTCTCTGTCTCTGACAGGGACAGGGTCTTCCTATGTAGCCCAAGCTGGCCTAGAACTCAGACCTTTCAGTCTCTGCCTCCAGAGTACTGGGATTGTAGGCATATACACCATACTGCCCAGTCTGCAATTAACTGTGTTTTTATTTTTAAAGTATCTTTTTAATTATTAAAATAGAAAATTAGACCAGGTACTAGGCACACAGAGAAAGGCAGATCTCTGTGAGTTGGAGTCCAGCCTGAGCTCCACAGAGAGACCCTGTCTCAAGAACCATTTTGTGTGCTGTGGCCATAGCTCAGCAGTTAAGAGCATCCACTGCTCTTCTAGAGAACTCAGATTTCATTTCTAGTGCCCACAGAGACTTACAATTGCCCACAACTCCAAGGCCTCCAAGCACTTGGCACTAGGCACAAATATGGTCCACAGACAATCACATAAAACATCCAAACACATAAAATTTAAAGTTATTATTATTTTCTTCTTTTTTTTTCTTTTTTGGCCAAGCATAGTGGTGCACAACTTTAATCCCAGCACTATGGAGTCAGTTGCATGCAGATCTCTGAGTCCGAGGCCAATCTGGTCTTTACAGAGAACATGCTGGCTTCATCTTTCACAGATTCCAGACACCACATGTATTTTTCTTGTTTTTTGATTTGCTTTGATTTGTTTTGAGACAGGGTTTCTTGGTGTAGTTGTGGAGGTACTGGAACCTGATCTGTAGACCAGGCTGGCCTCAAACTCAGGCTGGCCTCAAACTCGGATTAAAGGTGTGTACCACTAACTCAGCTACAACTATTTTTTTCTTTCAACCTTTTGTACCAAATTTTCAAATGACCATTTAAGTTTATTTATTTAATAATTTTGTAAGGGTATTTAGTTTAGCTTCACTATATATCCTGGCTGATCTGTAAATCAGTGTGTAGACCATGCTGGCTCACAAAGCTCTGCCTGCCTCTGCCTCCTTGGGATTAAAGGTGTGGGTCACCACATCCAGCAGAAATTCTGTGAGTTTGTAAGTGTGTAAGCTGGGAACTGAACTCCTATCTGAAAGAGCAGCCAGGATTCCATACTTGCTAGTCCATGCCTTTGTTTAGATTGTCTATGGGGTTAGTGGACTATAAGCCACATTTTGGTGTATGTTGAGCTATGTTTTGTGCTACTTCATTCAAATGTTAAGTAACAAGGAAAAAAATAAGGCTTCCTTTTGTGCCATCAGGTCCTCTTATTTTAAAAATGCTTTTTGTTACTTGAAAACATTATAGATTAGTGCCCTCAAATACCGAGTGCCTTGTCATTTCCCCAAAATGACCCAATTCTGCTTCTTCTTGCTTTTTGGTTGGTTGGTTTTTTAGACATTGTCTCACACCTTAGCTCTGGCTGGTCATGGACTGACAGATCTGCCTGCCTCCACCTCCCAGATCCTGGGACTGCAGGTGTGGTGGCTCAAACCTTTAATCCCAGCACTTGGGAGGTAGAGGCAGGCAGAATCTCTAAGTCGGAGCCTCCCTGGTCAACAGAGCAAGTTCCAGGAGAGCCAGGTCTACACAGAGACCCTGTCTGGAAAAATAACAACAACAAAAAGAATACTGTTACTTCTGTGTGCAGATGGCAGAAATGATCCCATCTGTGCTCATTTGGAGATGAGATCAGGAACCATTGATTCTTTAAATACAGTATGTGTAGGAACATGGAGTTGAAAGACTAGGATGAGCTAATTTCTATATATTTGTTTTTGTGTTCTGAAACTGAATTTTGCTCTGAGGCCCAGGCTAGCTTCAAACAACCCTTCTTGTTTAGTGTTTCCAGTGATGGGATTATGGGTTAATCCGCACCATACCCATATGCTTTTGGTTTTTGAGACAGGGTTTCAGGGGTTGAGGATTTAGCTCAGTGGTAGAAACCTTGCCTAGCAAGCACAAGGCCCTGGGTTCAGTCCTCAGCTCCAGAAAAAATAAAAAGAGTCAGGATCTCTCTGTGTAGACCAGGATGTTCTCAAACTCAGAGATCTTCCTGCTTCTGCCTCTGGAGCATAGGGATTAAAGGTGTGGGCCATGTTCTTGGATTCTGAGAGTGAGTCTCTTATAGCCCTCATGTCTTTTAGACTGGGTACTTTATACATAATTGAGGGAGGTTTCAAAATTATGGCAAGCATCCGGCACCCACCTCTCCCATGGTTGTGACTACAGATGTTCCATCATACACAGCTGAACTAGAGTAATTGATTTTTTTTAAATTATCTTGGAGGATGGGGTAAGTGCCAGGTGTCACACATGGAGACCAGATGACAGCTTGTCAGAGCTGGTACTCTCCTTCCACTGTGTAGGTCCAGGAGATTTAGCTGGGGTCATTGGACTTGGCTGGAGACACCTGTACCCTGAGCCATCTCATAGATTCATAGAAAGGATTAATTTCTGCTTTACTAAACAATCCCATTGTGTTTCGGGGAGGCTATATTATAAGGAATGATGGCATTTACAAGGCAGCAGAGTTAAACTGATCTGGCTCCTTCTTGCCTCCCAGGCTTCTAGACCAACACCGAGCCCATCCCTGTGGCTAAAGGAGTAGGTCTGTTGAGACCGGAGTCATTTTATAGAATTCCAACTTGTCAGAGACCAAGGGAATATTCCCAGCAGACATGGCTATCAACACGACTGGAGACAGCCTCCCCTCAGAGCAGACACCATCACCTACATCCCAGGACTGGAATTCAGAAAAAGAAGACTACAGCCCTGAGGTCTGGCACTTGAAGTTCAGAGCTTTCAGCCCCTCAGAGCAGTCGGACCCCGTCCAGGATCTGAAGAGGATCTCTGAGCTGTGCTATCAGTGGCTGAGACCAGACCTGAATAGCAAGGAGGAGATCCTGGATCAGCTGGTGTTGGAGCAGTTCATGATCTCCATGCCTCCAGAACTGCAGGCCTTAGTGAAGGAGAGCGGAGTGAAGAGCTGCCAAGAGTTAGAGAAGATGCTGAGGGATGGCGGGAAACCTCAACATTGGGTAAGCAGGGCCTCAGATGTGGGCTGAGGGAAAGGACAGCCTTGGGCCTGTGGGGACCTGGAGGGAGAACCCCCTGAGGGTCCTGCCCTTAGTCAGTGGTTCCTAAGAGGAGAATTTTGCTCTGTGATAAATGGCAATGTCTGGGGACCTTTATGGGCTTGTGAATGTGGCCCAGATAATTGGCTTAGAAGCCAAGGAATTGTGCAATCAGAAACACTGTGAGCTAACAGGCTCATCTTGAGTCAGAGTGCACAAGCCTTGTTATTTTGGGTTTTTTTTATTTATATTTCCTTTTGTCTTTTTTTTTCCCCCAATATTGGTATCCTGCCCACAACAAGTGTCTGGTGCTCTTGTAGGCCACAAGAGGGCATCTGATCCCCTAGGAGCTGGAGATGCAGACAGTTCTGAGCCACCACCTTGTGGGTGCTGGGGATTGAACCTGATCCCTCTGGGAGAGCAGTCAGTGCTCTTAATCTCTGAACCATCTTTCCAGCCTCCACCTCACTCCTTGTTTTTCTTTGGCAGAGTTTAAAGTAGCCTACACTGGTCCTCAGTTCACTGTGTCCCTGAGTATGACCTTGTGGGCCAATCTTTGTCCAGGAAGACAGATTTGCAAATAAGTCAGGCTAGGCTGCTGAATCAGCCCAGGAACAGTGCTGTGGGAGGTACATCCAGGCTCTCACCCAGGGTCTCATCCTGTTCCCTTTCCTCCACAGTCCATAATCCATTCCCAAGGACAGTTATATCTCCTTCAGGATCCCATTGTTGAGAAGGCAGAAGCCAAGGAGGATCAAAACGATGCTGTGGATTTGTCCCAGGAGCCTCTCAACAGAGGCAAGCCCAACCCAGTGCTTTGGATCCCGTCAGAGACTGAAGAGCCATCCACCAGCCAGGTGAGTGTGTGACAGTATCTCTGGGGGGATTTGGGAGAAGAACTAGAAGACCAGAGTTTGAGAGATCTGGTTAGGGCTGGGGCTTGGCACACAGTGTAGACACGTGGCTTGACATTGTTGTGCAGAATGAAGGTCCACCTGGCCATCTGCATTCAAGCTGAGCACTGAGTATGGAGAAAGCCTCTCTGGTGACACTTGGGATCGATATCAACCCATGAGTATAGCAGAATATCGTTAGGCATGATTACATTGACATTTTCTTCTTCACTCATGTTGGCTGCAAGCTTCATGGGACTGACTAGGCCCTCTGCACATATGTGACAGTTATGTAGCTTGCTTTTCGTGTGCAGGGGGGCAGGGGCTGTCTCTGACTCTTTTACTGACATTTGGGAAGCTATTACTCCTAATGGGTTGCCTTGCCAGCCTAAATATATGGGGAGGTGCTTAGTCAAGGTGATATTGCATGCTTTGTCCATATCCATGGGAGGTCTCCCCTTTCTTAATAAAGGGGAGGAGGAGTCGGAGGAGTCGGGGGAGATAGGAGAGGAGGGAGGGAAAACTCTTGTGGAGATACAAATAGATAGATAGATAAATAAATAAATAAATAAATAAATACTTTTTAAAAGGAGAGGAGGAAGGAAGGATCAGGTAGGGTGGTGCAAGCCTTTTGTCCTAGCTCTGAGGAGGCAGTATCTGGCAGTATCTCTGAGTTCAAGGCCAGCAAAAGCTACATAGTGCGACCCTCTCTCCAACAATAAATGTGTGAGTCCATGATCAAAATAAAACTGATAAAACAGTGTTACCTGGACTCGAAGCCATTCAGAGGGCTAAGGTATCAGGTGTCAGGCTAGTCTGGGCTACACACCACTTTGATCAGGGACAGCCTGGGCAAATAGGCAAGATTTTAAACTGAAAATATTTTAAAGGGCCAACAAAGAGGGCAGAGGTAGAACACAGGCCTAGAATTAACCAGTGAGGAGAGGGGCCTGTGGCTCAGCCACAGAGTGCTTGCTGCACAAAGCCCTAGAACCATATACATGAGAAGAAACAAAGAAAAAACTGAGTGGGATAACCACGTCTGACTGGGTGTGAGCAAAGGAAGCCACAGTGACGGGAAGGAATGGGGTCCGTCCTCCTGCAGAGTCTCTCAGATCCAGAGTGAGGCCAGAAGTCGTCAGGAAAGTTTCTTTTCACTGTCCACTCTTCCCTTTACCTGTCCCAGACCCATAGCACTTCCCCAGTCCCCAAACTTCTGGTCCTATTAAAAATAATACTGTCAGGCTGGTGCACACCTTTAATCCCAGCACTCAGGAAGCAGAGGCAGGCGGATCTCTGTGTGTTCAAGGCCAGCCTGGGCTACCAAGTGAGTTCCAGGAAAGGCGCAAAGCTACACAGAGAAACCCTGTCTCTAAAATAATAATAATAATACCACCCCCGCCCCTAAATCCAGTTTGTAAGATCCATGTGGGTCCTGGGTGTGGAGACTCTCACCGAAGTAGGATCCACCTACCCAGGGACCAAAAAAACCACCTGTCCCTCCCCAAAGCCAGCCATGTGCATAGCTCCTTGGTTAGGGTGGGGACCCCTGATTGCCTCTCCCTCCATGCTGGAATATGTCTGGCTGGATACTGTGAAGGAGTCTGCAGGCATCTCCAGCTGTGTGAGCTCATGAATGCAGGGGTGTCCTTTCTGAAGCACTCTGCCCTGTTCTCGGCCTCCAAACTCTGCAACTTTGAATCTTAGTAGATCATATTATCTTTAGACAGTGTCTCTCTAAATAGCCCTGGATGACCCGGAACTGTGTAGACCAGGCTGGCCTCCAACTCAGACATCTGCTTCACAAGCCCTGGCATGGAAAATGTCCATGACCACACGGGCTGCTAAAAGTTTTAAGTGTGCAGTCACTGTCACTTGGGAGTCCACAATATGTAGCAGAGGAGACCCTACACATCAGAAATAATCATTCGACTCCCATTTATTTTAAAGTTATCCTATTTTATAGGATGGATATTTTGCTTGTGTGTATCTGACACCCCATGTGTGCCTGCTGCCTGCAGAAGTGAAAAGGTGTCAGACCCACCCCCCATCATCACCTGAGGAACTGGGGTTACTGATGGCTGTGAGCCTCCTTGTGGGTGCTGAGACTCAAACCCAGGTCCTCTGCAAGAGCAGCTGGTGTTCTTAACCTCTGAGCCATCCCTCCTCTAGCCTCATTAGCCCCAAATCTTAATAGCACCAAGGTTGAGAGGCATTTTGCTTGTAGAGTCGAGGGCAGAGAAGATCGTGCATAGAGAATTAAAATAGCAACCAATATGAGGTGCAGAGATGTGGTGGCTTCACATTCATGGCAGACTTACAAGTAAGAGGAGAGTATTGGTTTATGTGGGGTATGGGAGTAGGTCATGGAAGTGTGAACATTCCTACAACTGGGGGAGAAATTGAGTGGCCAGATGAAGTAGAGTCAGATGTCTATGTTCTACCTCTCCATTGAAGGAACATGCACCCATAATTTTTCTCTGTCCCCTGTCAAGACACAGGAAGTTTTGCTGGATACAGTTCCTGAGAGCAAAGAACAGGAGGACCCAAGACCCAAGCAGAGCCCGGGGAATGACTCGGTGCAGGAGAGGGATGAGGCCTCTGTGTTGACCCCTCAGGACCCTGAGCCCACACACGGTTCTGGTGAGTTCCAGGTGGGAACTGACTGGGGACTTACTGCTCCTTGCCCAGCACTCCCTTCCTGTGGGAGGAAGCTGAGCACCCACTCCCACCCCCTCTGTCACTAGCCTTCCAGAGCATTCTACAGGCTGAGCTCTCAGGGTTGAGATGTAGATGGGATGTCCCCAGCCAGCACCAGAGTTTAGATATAAAATCTGGTATGATCGCGATGATCTTTAACAAGTGTTGTGTGCCTCATTGAGGAAAGGCACTGATCCTGGAGCTGACTGCTTGTGATCCATCTCAGGACCCTCATGGTGACAGGAGAGAAAAAACCCAAATGTTGTCCTCTGACCTCCACATTCTTAGGATGCCACCTCCCTCCATAATCAAGTAAATAAATGCAATCCATTTTTGAGAGGGACTCTCAAGTTTTAAATGTAGTATGTGGACTTCATTCCATCAGATTCTGTCAGAGGAGAGGATGTGAAGATGCCCCAGGAAGATACAAATACAGATGCTGTCACACAATCCACCCATGTTCTGGAAAGAAGAGATTTAGCTGCACACACAGAACTTCAGAGTCTCTCTAGTTCCAATGGAGACAAGGTTCCCCCTTGTCAAGGAGGGGCCTCCTGTGTGGACAGGACAGAAGATGGGCAGCTAGGGCTTGCTACCCTACGACCTGTGGAGCCTGTTGATCATCTCGCCGGCCAGGCTAAGTTTGTGTGCAGTGAATGCAAGAAGAGCTTCCTGTACAGGTCTCAGTTCATCATCCACCAGAGGTCACACACAGGAGAGAGACCCTTTGAGTGCAGCGTGTGCAAAAAG